AGATGATATTCCATCATGATATACACTCAGGCTGAGGTATAATCTGGGACAGAGTAAGTGGACAAGGTCATGGTTATTAACCAGATGGCAGCAGCTGAAGGCTAGCTGTCATGAAGGCACTATGGGTGACCCTTAACACTCATACCAGGGAGACCTGCATTATTCATCTGGAGCCCCACAACATTAAACCATCTATGGATAAGAGCGTTCATGTGAGATAACGTATCTATGAGAGTGATAACTGGAACAGAACAGTGGTCAGGCAGACATTTAAACTCACAGGGAAATGGCATTTTGTTTGTCTTGCTTTGTTACATGACATGAATCTTAAATACAGCTGAGAGGTCTCAGGTGAAGAAACATAGTTTGTTTAGTGGATGTTAACTGTATTTAGCATGTGGCAAACTTTGTTCACAAATTGTGAAGTTGCAGGTTATGTATGATGGGAGGGTTGGGAGATTAGCAGTACTGAATGCAATTTTTGTAAATGTTTTTTGGAAGTGCCCATAGAGTAAATGGTTGATTTCACAAGAAGTTAAAGCGATGGGACAGTGACATAAAAAGTAAGGGAAAATAACATGTAAATACTGTAGGTACAGTTGTTTTCATTGTATTTAATTATGCAAGAGGTCATCTTTTTAAGATTCTCATTCACAAACAGGTTTGTCCTGTAAACTCAAGGTATTTGGTACAGTATACAACAAAGCTTCACGTACTTCACTCATAGCTTGATATACTGTATCAAACCAGTTAACTGATTACAGCCTTTGTGACCCAGAGCAATCCTCTTAAATGTTTTAATGATATAGCAGTGACATGACATTCTGTGTACATGCATAGATGCAGTAGATAAAATGATGAAGCATGTGATGAAATTGGCTAGCACATGAATTTAATATCCATGTAAAAGGCATTATCAGATTGAGCTTAAGACAGCTCTTGACATTAAAGTGCCGGTGGTTAGAACTTCCCTCAGTTAAAAGAAAGCAAGACAGACATTGTTCATTTTGGCCTCTTTCATTTTAACTAAAATATGATATATGGGTTATGTCCCCCAGTGTGAAACTATATGCTCATAATTTTGCATTTAATGTATGTTTTTTATCCACAACTAACCTTTTTACAAAATGCCCTTCATGACATGGTTTTATTTGGTTCCACAGCATCTTATAAATATTTTACTCTTCTTTTATTATTTTACAAACTCTTTTTCTGGGCCTTTCACTTTTATGTCTTAATACAACAATGCAAACATGAAAAGTGGAACCACACCAAAATGTCTACCACAATTTGAAAGCATAGAACATTTTTTTTTTTTTGTATTGCTGGAATATTTTTGATGAAAAGGCAATATTAATAGGAAAATGGCATTTCAGTATTTTAAGCTCTCTTCCTCTGGTTGTTTTTAAAATGCAATTGCTCTGAGGATTGTGCTTACTGCACTTTTGAATGCTCCATTAAAAAAGCAGCTTTGTGTAGCCTGAAGGATATAGTCTGTGCATGTAATAATAAATGAAAGACATTTTATTGCAGTTACAGCATTTTAATGTGACATTCACTCACTGCCAGGGCTGGCCTCTCACCAACAAGCCGGGCAAATAGAACAGCAGACGCCTAACCTCACTACAGGCACAGTAGAAAGAAGTGCTGGTTGGAAGCAATTTATGCAAATAAAATAAGAAATGAGTATGAGGGGAACTAACTGTTCTTAATTGGAATAAAATGGGGGGAACTATTAAAACAGGATAATTAAGTTCCGTGTGACTGCGACTATCTTCACCTAGTGAGTCAGACAAACCCCCAGATGCAAAAAGCATCTACTACTCCATATCTAACTTACAATCACTTCCTGTTTACGTGCAATGAAGAGCCACAAGCTGTACTCATCCATCAGTGTCTGAAGGGTCAGTTTGAATCCCACTTTAATGCTCACCAACATCTTGCCACCTTATGAGCAACACATTTATGTACATAGTCCAGTGCATAGGCTAAAATTAAACATTGCTCACTGCAAGGGGAACCATAGATAGTAAATGTGTATTTCCAAGATTTTTTTTTCTGCTAAAGTTTCCTTTTAGAGCTGTGCCTACAGGCATTCATAATCTGTTTACACATGCAGCCTTTCTTTCCTGTTCAGAAATCTACTTGGATGCCTTTTTAGGGATTGTACGTCTAATACACTAATTGAATTGACACGGTAGAAAATTACAACATTCTCACAATATAATTGTTTTCCAACTCATTTTAGATTTGACTTTTCATATTTTATTGTTTCACAGATTTCCAAATTTTGAACTGGCAAAGATCAACAATGGTTGTTTCTTTTATGTAATAATATTTATTGATAACATTTAACATATTTTTCTTACAGATATTTTGTCTAGAAATTAACCGTCACTGCACATCAACTGACAGAACAACACACCATATTCCCAAAAATAGAAACAGAAACAAACAAACAAGGAGAAGATATGCCATCAAACCATGACCTCATGCACCAATTCACCACCAAATTAAAAAAACATGATGGCAGTTCAACTGGTTGTAAGTACATTGTGCAAATACAGACTCACCTCAATAAAACAAGTAACAAGACTATGTAAAAAACAGTAACTACTGTATAAACCCGGGAATAGCACAGACTTAAAATGTCTGCATATGCCTGTTGTTTTTCTTATGGGACATTATAGAAAAGAAAACATCCATCTTTGCGGTCATTCAACATGCAACTGATCCAGCTGAGCAGAGCTCAAGACAGTTTGTGTCTCTCTTTTCTATAATTTATCGACATCTGCATTCTTCTTCTATTTATTATTTATGTGTCTCAGCAGCACTACTGTCCAAAAGGTATAGCCGAGGCTTCAGGTTGATTGGGGCCCTTTTATGTGGATTGTTGCTCAAGGCTACGGAGAAGGAGGCGTCTTCAGAGAATTACAGGATCCTCCCTGGCTACTACCTGTGGTCCCCTGGTACTGCAAAGCAGAGTCATGCAGAAACAACAGTTAGAGCTGTACGGTGCAAGACAAATGTCTCTAACGCAGTCACATAAACAGATGTACAGTCATATCAAATAAAACCAGAGCCAAATTTTTCAGTATCCCAGGTTTTCATCTTAGAATCTCCAAACAATTGTACTAACCACCTACAGAGTTATGAATTGGGCAGTAAAACAAACAGTGAATGAGTCCCGTTTCATTTGTGATTTTGTGAGGTTGGTTTATTTATGTATTCACTCAGTTTTATTGGAATAGACTGTGCTACTGTGACTGATTTATTTGCCAACTGCGAGCAAAAAAAAAGAAAAAGCTTTTATAGACAAAGTGGCTTACTTGGCAAACAAATAGACCTGCACTTGAAACCTATCGGCATGTTAGCACTACATTATTTTGCAGTTTTGGGAGTAGCGTGAAGATGAAGGGCTTGTGAAGACAGAACAAGTTTGACTGAAATGAATTGGGAGAAAGTGAATAAGGTTTTCTTGAGGCTCCAGTGAAGATTTCACAGTACCACATACTCTACTAGCCCTGGAGGAAACATAACAAGCTCAATTTCCTCTCACTGTTTCTTTGTATTTTGCACACGCAGACCTTTGATGTGCACACAAATACACACTATAAAACCATTTCCACAGGACAGAGACACCATCCTTCAACTTCTTAGCGGACTCTTCTGCAGTGTGTTTTTTTTTGTGCAAGTGTTTTTCCAAGGGTAGGTATTTAGGTAATTGCATTTATTTTATTCATCACATATTAAAAACACAAGTTGAGGAGCTGAGTGGCTTTTATCTGGAACCAATATGTACCCCCACATGCCTGGGGCTAAATCATGTCAGAGCTTTGTCTACTTTGTCTCCCTCGATAGTTTCCCACTGCACTCTAATCTAAAAAAAAAGAAAGAAGATAAAGACTAAGAATGAGTGAACTGGCACTCTCTTAAAGACAAAAGGTCTGTCCTGTAAAGGGAACTTTTAGACTAGTAAATTACCAAGATAACTGGTGCTTTTTTGATACAAAAAGCCCAATTTCAGGTACTGTGCATCACATGGTAACAGAAAATGTGATCTGCTTGAGAGCAGGTTATGTTTCTCCCATCAGATCCACATGAAACCGCATCACCCTCTGTGGACTTTCTTTTGAGAGGACCACTTTCTTTTCACTAAAGATTATTAAATCAGATACATAATGTTTCTATGTTTCTACTTGCTACCCTCAAAAGGCAGATTTTCCTCTTTTTACTTCGATGTTCAGTAGCCTACAGCCATATTCCCATTACCGCTGACCAAAAATCTTTTCACAGCCTCACTGTAACAACACACTACTGTATCAGTGAATACTAATGAGCCCACTGTGCCTTAATGGTTGGGCAGTGATAAGCTTAGTTGCATATTCATTTACACTTTTTTCATCCAGCAGTCCTCTAGCCTTGGCAAAACAGTGTTCTTTTGTGTTGCTCATACTTATTTTTTAATAATAGTAAGGTTTTCATAAATGTCACTTATTTATTTATTGGCCTTTAGTAATCTTCTTTTTCCTTTTACATTCGATTTTTAAAACAAAAAAAGATGTTTGTTTGTTTCCTCTACATTTACTATTACTGCTGCTACTATAAAGTTTTACCGCAGAGTTAAATAAAGCTTTATCCTATTTAATATTCGTTCCTGGAAATCTTAATTTTGCTTTCATCTGTAACAAAATCTGCCTCCATAGGCAAAACATTATAACAAAAACATCCGAATTTTACATTCTGTAGACTGATTTTATGTGATGATTTGAATTTATTGATACTATTACTGTAATAGCAGACCATAACAGCTACTAAATTGCTTTCATCATTAGACTTTGCTCTAATATTTGGCTGTTAACAGCATGTTCCTGCCTTAGGCGCAAGAGCTCCAGTTTTGACAGCATTAGTAGCAAATTATGTTTAACAAGAACAACAATATATTTATGCCTCAAACCGGGTCATGCATGGAAACACATATCGTACCCGTCACAGTAAAGTTACCTCACCTCAACGAGAGGATGCCAGTGGGCGACAGGTTTTCGTGGATATGTGAGCATTTCACTCCAGTGGATTTGACCGAGGCTGTCTGCATCGTTGCCAACTCGACACACGCCAATGACCTCATTATGGCCTACACTGCACGTGCGGGAGGGACAGAGAGAAAAAATGTGATCACGACTTACCCTGCATCCCAAGAATAATGATGCACTTCATCTTCAGAGTGAAAAGAAAAAAACTAAAATTAACTATGTAATATGTTTGTGACACAAACATTTCATGTGTTTTGTCCAGCAGCAAGTATAAATTAAAAATTATTCATGCAAGGAGAGGTGCTTATATAAAGCCTTGTGAAAGGTCCTAACCGGTCATAGTCCATTACTGCAATCAAAAGGCTGATCTGCTCTATATTTTCTGGAGGGACATCAAAGACAATGGCCTCATTATAGACTGGATTCAAAGTGTTCCTCTTCGTCGATGTCTTCCTCTTCTTCAGTCTGCGACCTTCACACATTAATGAAACCTTCACATATGGATCTATGAAAGTAAGAAAGAAAGTGAAGACATTCATTTTCATTCATGATACCAGTGAGACTCTGTAGTTCAGTATCAGTTTTTAATTACCAGATGCGCCGGTGATATCCATAGCCTTGAGATTGCGAGCCTTTATCATGGTAATGGTTAATCTGCCCGCAGTAGGCAAGTAACAGAGGGAAAACATCAGGTCACCAAGGTCCACATTATCCTGAAAGACAATATATACAAAACACAATTACTCAACCATAAGCTGTAGGTGTGTGTCGATCACTTTTATATTGATAAAAGCAACTTTACAGTCATTCTTTAAAGCTAAATAAAACAACATTGTTTCTTGCACTGCTGCCTTTCATTACTGTGCACCAGCCGAAGGTGAGGAATAATGGCACGGCCATCTGACATTTAAACATGTCACAGTTAAAACATGTTTCTGTTATACTCTCCTCTGTCACATTTCTCTAATAAAAGCCTCCCACATTTCACCCGACATGGAGACTTCTGTTCAGCTGCAGGAAGGCAGAAGCTCACATATCACTTCTTAAAATAACTCCAGTAAAGAAGTGAGAAACGGGAAAGCACACAAACGTGTCTGGTGAAGACAACAACTCCTACAGCAGAATCTCTTGCTGATCTATTGGTATGTCGGGAAGATTGTGTTGGTTATTTTGAATCAGGTGTCACCTGCTATTACCTTTTAGTGTAATCATTCGTAAAGGAAATCTCAGTCAGTTTAATCAGTGTGTCAATATAAAACCTGAGAACTAAAAAAATCTATAGTGTCACATTGATTTTGTAGAGACACTCCATTTAACTCTGATAGAGATAATGAGATATTAGGCTTGTTCGAGATGAACTGCGCCTCGCCTGGAATGTGGACGAGATCAGGCGGTAGCAGCAGGAGGTGGTGACAAAAAGCTAGGGTTGGGCTGACAAAAGCTGCTGTAAGACAGGTTTCAGCAGCCTTCAAAGAATAGTAAGCGCTGGTACGAGTACTAGCAGGTGTTCTTTTTCTTTTTTGTTTGTTTTTTGTCAGTATTTTCGTGACCAGTTCTTTTTGGGTGAGTGGTGTTTACAAAACTAATTCTAGTTCTCGCTGATTGGGCTTTTGTTTTTATATGCTCAATCTGGTGTGTTGTGCTGTGGTGGTGTGTGTGTGTGTGTGTGCATACCCGTGTGGCTGGTATAACTGTCGGAAAGGAAAAGCGAGGGAGAGATTGAGGTAGAAAAAGAAAAAGAGTTTAAGACTTTCCCTCCTGAGACCTACATCGCCTTGTATCTTGACTTGAGTCTTTTGTTACAATCAGGATCAAGTCTTCAACAGGACTACTAAAGCATTTAAATTTGCGTGATGGATTAACTGACAACCCCTCCAGAAAAATGCATTCCACATGCCAGAAGGATAATGTGGGCTTTACATGCTTCATGGTTTTTGTGCACACTCGAGATACAGGTGGGAAGAGAGACATTAGTGCCGTGTTACATGTGCTCCAGAATCCCTTTTAAGCAAAAAATGCCATTTAATGCCTGCTGGTCGAATGCCACACTGCAAATCTCTGATAAGCTATGTCCCAAATTTCACAATTTGAACATACTGTACTTGTTTATGGAATACTGTACGTGTGTATGTCCTAGCACTTTAAAAGCCAAACTCAATCAAAATGATAAATAACACAAAAAAGAAACCAAAACAAGCCATAATGGTAATACATTATATAGCTTTTGTTTGCGTTGACATTGTAATTTTTGCAATCATGAAAAAAAACACACGTTCTTCTGTCAATCTGTTTCTTTTGCTGAGCTAAATGAGCCAAATCTGGCAATGAAACAAACCATATGGTCAATCCCACTGGCAATCATGATTTAATGATAATCCAATTGTACCTATCAATTAAGTCACTGAATCTGTACAGTGATTATGAAAAATGGGCCCTACTGGATTGCATACAAAATGTCCTACCTCTGTACTTTTGTCCAAAAATGATTAGCTTGTTTATTAGGGTGAATGTTTGGGGCATGTGTGCAAATGTTTGAGAAGTGTAGGAGTCTGTGTGTACTGCATATGTGAGTGTGTGAATGAGCTGAGTCGTGCAAAACTGAAAAAAAAATCTGAACATTGTGAAAATGGAGCACTCCAAGTACTGTGAATCTCTAGTCCCCATCAGCACCTGTCACATCTCATTCTCTTCTGAGTAACATTGATTGACAATCAATAATAAAGGCGTCAGCACTGCCCCACAAAACAACCTACTGTGTAAACTCTCACAAAGTTGAGAGCTTATACAAAAATATCAGTTCTCCTGTCAATATTAATATTCCCCTCAAGTCTCTATCTGACAGACTGACAGAACAAATATCTCCATTAAACTTCCTTGGCGTCTCCTCTTCGCTCACTAGCTGTCCATTCTGTAAATGTAAACCCCAAATCATCTATCTCTTGGTAAATATATGATGACCTACCGAGAACTGATAGCTAAACTTAATTTTTAATAATGTATATATTTGGTGCAAATTTCAGTGCACATCCCTGTGATCTGCTTCACGCTGGCTTTCAACAATGTCTACTGGCGTGACTGCCCTAACTCCAGAGAAGCACACTAAAATATGCATGTATTCACTCAGCTAATTTGTACAGGTCTGGCTATTCCCCATGGTATCGACTGCACAGTGCGGGAGTGCGGGGAGTGCGGGGGGAGGTTATTGCTTGACTTTGCTTTACTATATGAGAGATCAAATAGATTGCATGGCTCTCTCCTTTTCCAACCACAGTGCTGAGGGTGCTTGAGTGCGTGACCCTTTATGTGTAATCTGTCAAGTTGGTGTACTTTGCCCGCATGAACTTATAGGGCTCATTAGTGGCTGAAGCCTGTGAGAAACAGAATGACACATTGTGACCCTAAAGCACAGGGAGAGCACTCTAAAATTGTCACCCTGCTGCTCCTCAAGTTGCTGATGCCTCATCGTATACAGAACTACACACTATACACAACACTACATACTAACACTTTACAGTGTAGTTCATACTTTTAATCCATAATATTTTTGAAATATTTTCATGAGCATATTTCTTTTTTAATGTTTTAATCTTTTTCTTGTCCTTTTGCAAGTTTTTTGAGGCCACAGTGTCAATCCACTCCTCATTCAAAATGCAAGTGAACATACTTCACATATTGACATCTGCTATTTATATACTACGACTTATTTTTGTCAGTTTTATGTACTCAAAACCCAGTTAGAATTTGTATGGATCATGAAAGTGGGACACAGCTGCTGACTCTGTGGATGCCAAGTGGGGTTGTGATGGCTATAGATATGGCCTGTACTGTGTGAAGGGCTGAACAACTACATGTAGCTGTTTCAGTGCAGTAAGTGTGGTCAAGCAAAGGGATTTGGTGGGATCTGTGCAACCTACCTTTGCTGTCAGCACTCACAGGTTGCACAAATATAGCAGCTGAGTGAAGTAGGAGAACAGTGTGTGCGTGTGAGAGAGAGAGAGAGGAGAGAGAGAGAGAGAGAGAGATTGAGGCAGACAGAGAAAGAAAGAGGCAGAGATAAAATATTTTTAGAGGCCAGGAGTAGGAAGCTGTTAATGGTCTTTGCCAGCCAATGGTCCATACAGAATAGACAGCACCATGCCACAAATATGAGCTCATTACTGAAGTCACACGTTTAAAAAAACAACCAAAAAAAACATCAGATGTCCAAATTTCATTAAAACCGAAGGAAAAATCAATATTCTTACAAATCCAGCAGCCAGACTGCATGTCAACCTCACAGTATAGTGAGCATAGCATTATACAACATCACTGATCATTGTGTATGAATGATCATGACAAAAATGGCATTATTTCAGCTGATGTATCCCACCGTACCTAAGCGTTTACACCAGGAGAGTCTCTCTGTTACCCACTACTGTAATATACTTTTGCAACCAGATAAACCATACATTTGTATGATCATGGAAATTACAAATTAAATTTGTAAACTGTTAATGAATGATCTCTTCAAAAACAAAAATGCATACACTGACATGTAGCTATCTGGAATTTTCCAAGTGTCTATTTGGCTGCCATTTTCTATATAACTAGCTGCCTGAAAGACCACTCCTGTATTGATTTGCTTCTTCTCAGGCATCTGCCATTATCTGTGACTGCCTTGCAGATGCCTACTTTTGCTCGGTTTCCTTAGATATTATTTTTTTGAGGTCCAAGAGGACTGTTTGACTGAGCAGATATGGTATTATAGCAGAGCACTTTTATAATAAAATGAAAATATTACTCTTACTTCGTCAAATGCTGCAGCCTGGTCAGTGCCCCAATGCTTCAAAATATGACATGTGTACCCCTCTAGCGTCATTTCTGGATTTCTACACAAGTTGCTGTTGGCTCATGTCAGACAAAGGTATGCTTGTGATTTGCACAAGACAGCAACCTTACAGAACTAAATAAGAGAACAGAATTTAAAATTTCTAAAGAAAAAAGATGCATAGGGGAAATTGAGTTTTACTACATGTAAATTCCAGTTTTGAACTATATAATCACATTAAAATACAAAGAATAATATCCATGTACAGTTTTCAGTATAATCCCAACTTGACTGACCACATTCACATTCTGGTTGCAGTTGATGTTTTGTAGTATATAACTCAATAATTAGATAATATTAATAATTAATCTGCTTTAACATTTTCAGCATGCATTGATTTAATTTAGTAGATAAATAATATGGTAACAAGATATGCAAGAACAATATATGCTCAGATAGGCAAATCTAGATGAATAATTATTGTGGCTGTTACACAAATTCACCACCATCCAAACATGTTTGACAGATGTCTTTCATATGTATTTCTGCTCTTGTACAGCAAGTCTTCCATCTGGCCCCTATAATAAGATTCACAACAGAAATGATACACAATGGAGCAGTTACTATGAATGTAAGCCTGAATTACTATGAAAATGAATCTTAAAATTAAATGATGCAGCTCTCTCTTCTCTATCTCTCAAAGTAGAAAAACATGTTAACAAGTTTCAAGGCAGAATTGGCTAAATTGCATATATCATATTACTACGGTGGCTATATTTAACCTGGATTAACAGGTAGATCACACAAAATCTGGTTACTAAGGGACAAAGCTCATTAAACATAAATGGCTGCAGTGCAGTCGAGCCATTTGCATATGCAGCAAGGAACAGAGCTGCAGGGGACAAACCTGGACAACAGCAGAGGTAGAGGATGCTTTGCTTATTAGATACACAGAGACAGACACATGCTACTCATATAATCCTGTGCTCCTTTATGTACATATGTTATAGAAGTGACTTAAGTGTTTTCTAAAATGTGCCAGTAGTTGCCATTACAGATCAACAATTTTCAGTGTTGTCTTAAAGAAAAAACTACAATATATTACAGCTTGGGCTTTCTTTTCGGGGGTTCTGGTTCTAACGTGTTAATCAAACTTAATGAAATGAAATGAATTGTCTGCAGCAATCACTGGCAAAGAGTCTCATTAATGACAAATGGTATCAATTTTACATTAAAGCTGTTTAAGCTCACACACTGAGATGCCTGTCAATGAAGCAATCACTGGAAGCATATACCCATAAATATGTACCAGTATTGTCTATTACACAATAGATGTGTCAGATATCAGCTGTACAAGGCATCATTAACAGGGAACAGTCAAAAATAGTATAAAGAGCTCTTGAATGAATTATTTGGATAAAGACTGCAAGTAAGACAACCAGTAAAGCATAGTAATGGTGACACTGGTGACATCATACTAAGGTACAGGTACACACACACACACACACACACACAGACATGCAAACAGTCAATAATAAGGCAACATGGGTTATCCTGTTGACCTTAGGCAGTTTCACCCTGGAATTAATTTACATATGTTTTAAAAAGTGGGTAGTCCCAGGCAGCAGAGGGCACTGCATTTAGATAAGCAGTGGCAAATGCAGTAAAAGTGTTTCCTAATGAAAATGTGTTTCTGCCCTTCACCTGTATAAACTGGATGTATTGTGTTCAGTAATAATGGTTCTTACAAAAGGATGGAATTTTGTTAAACAGTTATGTCAAATAAAAGGAATATCTGCATTTGCAGGGTTTCATTGTTTTAAATAACTGCATCTCTCCAATGTTTCTTAGCTACAGAGCACATTTAAAAAATTTATACATTGCTCTACAAAGAATTACAAGGCAATAAAGCAAATGTCTGAAAGTCATAATGTGTCAGTACAGATGCCTGAGATGTATTGTTGGTAGAGACAGAGAAATCCTCTCAAAGTGAGTGACCTACCTACCAACTAATTCTTCTCTCGTTCATTCAGAGCTGACGTCGTGGTTAAAAAAGCAGTCAACTTTATTTTATATTCATGTCATTGAGGGACAGACGGTGCTGAAATTAATGAAATGTGAACCAAATATGTAGTTCTCAATAAAGTTGTCAGACTTAATATAACACATTTTGCCTTTTGTGTTATTAATACAAAGTTAATATAACATGGTGTGTCTGAGTGAAGATGATATGCTTTTTAACTTAATTGCCAACTTACCGTGGAGACATATTGGATTTCCCGGCAGAGTTTTGTCTCCCTGGGGAAATCTGCCAGATCCAGGAAGTTGTCCACAACCACTTGGCCGATAATGTCATGGCGTGAAAATCGGTCAAAGTCATAGATGCTGAAGTGTAGCTTACGTGTGGGAAGCTCAGAGTACGCCACAGGAAACAGGAAGACCTCATCAAACACAGGGTTCAACGTCTTGCGGTGCACCTTGGTCTGGTGTTTGGTCATACGATCAGGGAGCAGGTAGATCTTAACATAAGGGTCAGAGGTACCAGAGAAGTCCTTGGCTGGGAGATCCTCTGCTTTGTGGATCTTAACTATCAACTGTTCCTGGTCGCAGTCAAATTTGAGGATAAAATGGAGGCGCCCGCAGCCCCCACCCCTGCGATTACCTTCATCTCCCTCAAGGGATCGCTGTTTGTAGAGCTCAGGTTTGAGGCGCCCAAGGCCCAGCCCCATTCCTGTGAGGGAGTCCTGCCTTTGGAATTGGGCCACATTGAAGTCTGGGTTAGACAGGTTCATATGTCTGCGAATGGACCCTTGTCTGTGGGCAGAGGAAATCACAAACAAACATCATCATACAAGATCAACAGGTTGAATCAGAAAAGGCTTGTAGGCATTTTATATCCAAATTGGACAAGTCTGTGAAATTACACCCAGTGCCAATGCAGGAAGTAGTGTGCCCTATATGTAGCCAGGTTGAAAGTAGGGTTTGGAGTTTGGAACTGGTGTGTAGTGACCAGTTCTCAAGAAGGAGAACAGAGTTCCTGTCCTGTCACACACCTGTAATTGACCTTTGCTTTGTGACTTAAAAAGAGCGTTTTGGTTGCCTTACCCTAAACATACCTTAAGCATCATTTCATAACCTCAATCTTTGTATTTAAGTGTTGCTGCAAAGATATTTTTAAAAACAAGAATTAGCATTATGCGTAGAGGTTTAATATACGTCTAATATTGATGTTTTTGTTTGGCAATTGCATTGAGAGCCATGCAGAAGAGTACTGATCAGTTCAAACACCAATTAATGTTGAGAGTTGTATGGAAGCAGAAGTGTTACAGGTTTCTCAAGGACAAATCTAGTTGTTCTGACAAAGGCAAAGAAACCAACAAAAATCTTATACTGACCCAATTTCAGACATTGAGTGGCCAGAGGGTGGGGGTTCAGTGGTCTGTCTCTGCATACGAGGATTTGTGTGAACCCCATTTTCCCGGGTTTTACTCTGGGCATCCAGTGGGATGTCTGGAGATGTATGACTGATCTTCATAGCTGCCTCTGGTGTGGCCAAGACCACAGGCGGTGGTGATACAGGAGTCACCGGAGCCTCCACCGATACCACAGACGCCACAGGAGTGGGCTCTCTGGCGATAGAGCAGTGTGACGACTCACGGCGGTTGTGTGGCGGGGGGTCCACGGCTGTATAAACTGGCTGCCTGGGTGCGGGCTGCGAGGGCAAAGGGCTCATGGTGGGGTTGAGGTGCCCATGGGCCTCCTTGGTGGTTGGAGAAAGCCCACGCTCTCTCCATGGTATCCAGCAAAGCTTCCAGGAGACAAAGAGGGAAACCCCAAAGAGGGCCAAGCCACAGGCAGTCACGACCAGTGACAACAGACTCACCGATATGTCTGAGAGGGTGACAAGAGAGACAGGAAATAAGGATCTGACAGTGAGTTCAGTTGCTTTCTGCTAACTATAACATTACAACTTTACCATCACCATCATTATCAACTTTTATATATTAAGTAGTGTGAAAACTCTTATTTATCATGGTCATGTCACAATAACACTCATGGGAATGTGTTATATTATGCTGTTTTTTCATTCACCTGTGGTGTCACATTGGAAGAATGTTTTAGGATAAATCATGCTTCTTTGTACTAGCTAGCAAAAGAAAATGTGCAGTTAGCTCTACTGTGGGGTTTTCTCATCTTTGTTCCTGTATTGTTACATATAATCCTTGACAAGATTAATTAGGATTAACTACATTTATTTAATTATCGTCTGGAGCCTGATATCTGCCTCCCAAGCGGAGTGTGCCCCATGCTGTAATTTTCAGTCCTTTGCTGATAACAGAGGAATCGTTTGTTGAAACAAAGGCAGCAGGAAAAGCCTATTCATACATTCTCATTGAAATACTGGAAAACTGTTTAGGGGTTAAACTCTTGTTTTTATTCACAACAATTTAAAATGTTTAGAGTTTTGGAAGGGGGGGTTGAATAACTGGGTGTTATAGTAAATTGAGGTTACAACCTCTTTATATTGAGTCTATGGTTGCAATAATTGGGTAAATGAATCAACACCAAGTGAAAACTCTAACCAGACCCACAAAGTCCTACCAGTGCAACCAGACACGTTCCAGCAACTATGGTGCATGACATACATTTATGTCTGCCTACTTGAGCGTAAGAGCAGTAGCGTTGGCTGTGGGAGTATAAAAGTTTTAAAGTAGTATCACACCAGGCTTAAATCTGTAAGAGTTTATGGTTTTAAAGCATGACACTGAATATTCCTGCAGTTCATTTGTTTACACCATCACAGGGTGTGCGAGTCACCATGGAAAGGGAGGTGAGGTGTGAACCAACAGAGTCAACAAGGGCTTTCTGAATCAGCTCTGTTGAGAAGTGGGTGACTTTTTTTGAAAGATAAATCATAGAAACTGCTGTAACATGACAGTACTGAGGTCCTATCTATGACTCTATGCATTCATTTCTTACCCGTCAAAGGCATGATATTTATCATTATAGATTGTTATTAACATTTAACCCTTGTTTTGTTAAAATTCCTTAAAACTTTATATTAAGCTAAACACATTCACCATTAAGTAGTTGCTTATTAGCCTGCATATTAGTTATTATAGAGCACTTATAGAGCCTTATTCTGCATGACCATAATCTAACTAAGAGTTTTCCCTCAATGACCTCCTAATTACTGCTTAATTATAGTAAATAAGGAAGTTGTATGGAAGTAGATGAATTGTGATCTTGAAATGCTTTGCTCACTGTGGGTCTAATAAGGTGGTAGTACCACAGGAATACTCATTCTCCCTTATAAACACTTACTAAATTTGTTGTAGTCTTATGTAACAAAACTGCAAGGATTAATAGTGTCCAAATAACCCTAAATTAACTATCTCTTCTAATCTTTTTTTAAAAAAAAATGTAATTATCCCAGTTTAAGTTTAATATCTACCTTAGATATGAGCAAAACCTCACTTTAGAATGGGGGACAGTTCGAAAGTCTTTAAATGACCAGTAGCTATAGAATATGGTTATGCAGAATAAGGCATTAATAGGTGCTTTATAATAAATTAATAAAGAGCCAATATGTTTCCCCATTGTTTGGGGTTCCACAGACCCCACTGATATATGTGTAAAAGTAACAGCAAGAATAATAAACAAAAAACTTCTGACTTATAGTATTGAAGTTATAACCCTTCCCTTTGCCACAAACTGGGCTTGCACATTTGATGGAGGCGATGTTACTTGTGTTGGAGGTCAGTCAGACCCCAGAGAGGTGCAACTCCCTAACACACCTCCTATGAATATTCTGATATAAAACTCCAATAACAAAATGAACTGCTCATCAGGTCAACATACATTACCATAAAGGTGGAGTTTTCTGAGATTAGTTTTTTAAGACTATCTCACTACGTGTATTTATCAAAGGCAAACATATGCATATTATATGCTGTGTCTGCTCCTCACTCTCTGTGCTCTTATGCATGCTTGAGTTTTTATGAGGCAAAAAAAGATTAAGTGGTGATTATTAAAATCACTCGGCAACAAGATAACAGCAGAACAGATTGCAGTTCACAACATGACTAACTGTTATCTATCTCCAGCAAAGTCTGCACATGAGCGATATGTTGTCCACTGCATCTTAATTAAATCTAGTCTTGAGCAGCACCTTTCACATACATCTGCTGGAGGGTAAAATACAACAGACAGTTGCTTTGCAATTAACAGATAATGATAGTGTGGTAAAATAACAGCGAGCATTATAAATATTATTTTGACCCATAAAGGGCTTTAATACCAGCCCAGCCCATTTGGCCACCTAGAGCAAAGGGACATTTATTGCTATGCACTGCAATTTCCACGCATGACATAAGTATCCTCTTAATTTATTTTTTTTACCTCGGCTTGCCCTCTAATTTTTCAAGTCTACCTTAACACAATGCTCAGATGTCCACTGAACGAGGATGTGAAGTGATTCCTTCCACCTTACTAGTGTCCACACAGTGCAAAACTGCATTTTCAAGTTCAGTCAAAGGTAACATTAGGATTCAGCAGTCTGAGTTAGACAAATTAAACAAGTATCTTCCAAAGTTATGGTCCTCTGAGTATAAAATTCCCTCAGGCTTCCTTTGACAGAGTTTCCTTGCTTAGCAGTGGTTGAGGGATACTAACACAAAGAAGGAATTTTATTCTAAAAAAAAGAGTTTCTAGCAGCCACTAGATGTGGCTAACTCTGCATCTTATTTGTCTGAACTATGTAATGCAGTTTTGTACATCCTATCAATCCCCTTCATTTTTCACATCGAATTTATTTATGATTCTGAATTGATAACCTCATATACAACTACAGCTACTACTACTCCTGCAGCTTGTGGTAGATGTTCATTTGATCATTTATGATGAGTATTAGGGGTTGTTAATTGTTAAATGTTACTGACCATAAGTGAAAGTGGTACTTGTGTTACAAATATGTTTTTTTCTATATTTTCATGTGACGCTAAATAATGCTGATACATTAAAAAACAAGCCTATTATTACATAATTGAGCTTTGTTTTACTATAATGATAATCTTGTGCAGGAGTGAACTGTTGCCCAGCAACAAATGTTGGGGTGGGATGATGGTTTGAAGCTGGGAGGACAGAAATTAAAAGTTTAGGTTTTTAATTTGTAGAAAGATTTGTCCAGTGATGGTTTATGCATTGTTCATCTACTGAACCTCCTATTTTATTATTGTACATGTTAGTTATTGATTCATTTGGAAAAGCTTTCCAATCTAGAAAGACTACACTAATCCCTTCATAGTTGCTGTAATGTTTACTTTCATTTACTCTATTAAAATGTGTTCAATCTTTGAGATAAATCTTTTGTTTTACATAGCCTTAGTCCACTGTATAATCTATATTATGTCTAATATTGCATAAGCCTCGTTGTGTGTGAGCGCAATGATTCAGACTTTTGCCCAATTTGTACAACAAGCTATTAGTTTCCTAAAGTAATAAAGCAATGTGATTTTGTGCCCATCCATGTATGTGCAGTCAATGTTGATGAAGATTTGTAGGAAAATAATAACTCAGAAGTAATCTGTGTAATTACTTTAATCATAGTTATGAGTAAAATTATCCCATTTCAGTAAAGATACACTAATTATTGCTTTTCCTGAGTAACTGCCCTCACATTGTTTAGCACAGTGTGTCACTTTATTAACTATTAAATCCAGGATTTCAAAAGAAATGCATGCTGATATAGTTTCAAAAAAGATAATAGTCATAATAAACATAATGAGCTTCATATCAAGTAGATGATGATTACCTCATGAAAAGAGAATGTGCATAGATAATAATAATAATAATGTATTTTTTATATGAACTTACAAGCTCTATCATGTGTCTTTTCAGTGACTATCTGACATTATAAGGAGCTAATTATTACTGGCACTATAACACACCACATATATGTGTGTTAATTTGTAGCACAGCGATATGATGCATGTAATTAAAAGTATCTGAGAACAGCTTGATGGCTAACCTCACTGTCTCACACCAACTGCACGATTTTTATTTGGCAGTGCCCAGGATAACTTTTATTTAGAATTTTTAAACTGCACACTATCACCCCTTGTGTTGCAGCTGACAGAAGTATAGTTAAGTAATATGGAAATAATATTACTTGTTATGTTGTGGTTTTTTTTAAGCTGAATGCCCTCATTTTACCAAGGATGATTTTACTATGCTGTAAGACCTCAGTTTTTGAATCTCGTTAGGCCATCCACATGCTGGTTCAAAATAAATGAGACAATACCACACTTCATTTAAATATTGTTTGGTTTCAGTCACAACTAATTTTTAAAAGACTTTGACAATAATAGTTTGGATTTTGCATAACCTTTCCTCCAAACAAATAGCACTGTCTATTACAGGACTGGCTCTGTGTGTGGGCGCTGAAAACCTTGCACAGGAACTCAGACAAACTGTCCTTTCTGTGCTCTGAGATTCTGTGAATACCAGAGTATGTGTGATTTGGGAGAATAATGTGGAGAAATTGAGGGACTTGCCATCTGAGGACACTGATCCCACATTTCAATTGGCAGGCTGCCCGAATGCTGCCTGTCAGGGAAGAATCTATAGACATCTGGAAGGATTCAAAAACTCACAGCAAAGAGAGTGGACCAATTTTAGAGCACAGGACCTTCAATGGTGCAATAGTGTAGGAGGCAAGCAAGGGCTGAAAAGTCAATATCTGGACCTTCTACCTCCTGAGATGTTGTCATTTATCACACATCTCAGGGAATAAAAACTGTATTTAAAAAAAAATGTGAATAATTGTTTAATTTTTCCCTACAGTTAATGTTAACATGGAGTACACAACATGTGAGTTGTTCTGATTGGTTTTTCCTTAGGGCTCTGAATACTGCTGGTTTCCATTCTCACAGGATTTTAGTTGCAATGACCCAGTGATCTGTGTCTAACTAATTAGATGGCGACAATTAAAAACAGCAGTGCTTTGGGTCCTGTTTCGGGAACCACTATTACATGGTGTACACATGCTGAGCTTAGAGGAATAGTTCCACATTTTGTGAAATATGCTTATTTGCTTTCTTTTCAAGTCTTAGATGAAATGATAGATAGCGCATAGTGCTGGTACGGTAAATATGAATCTGTAGCCACTTAGCTTAGCTTAGCCTTTAGACTGGAAAAAGGGGGAAACAGCTTGCTTGACTCTGCGCAAAAGTAACAAAATCTGCCTACCAGCACCTCTAAAGCTCATCAATTAACACATTAAATCTCATCTGTTTAAATGGAGGTGTAAAAATACTCAGCTGCTGGCTCTAACTTCATATTTAATGGACATCACTGTTATAAATAACTTTTACCACAATGGGTTTCTCAAGTTGCCATATCAATGTTAAACACATAAATGGTCACAAGCAGTACCAATCCCAACACGCCCATTCTGAACTCTGTTTCTGAATCCTTCCAAAGGGTGTTGGACCTTTGATCTTTTATCTACTTTTATCTACTTCCCTTGTCATCCTATTATGGATGCTGCCATAATGCAGGGGGATGCATGACAGCTGGAACTAGAATTCAACCGTATAGGCAAGCAATCCTAGCTAACTCCACTACAGTACCTACTATAGCAATTCCACAAGAGTGCAATGGAAGAGACAAGACAGGGCCTATATGATGAATGGTGGAGAGAGCTGGGAGATTAGGGAATAGAGGAGATCAGGAAAAAGGGAGGAGTGAAAGGTTGGTGAAAAGGGGGACAACAAGAGGAAAGGAGTAGGGATTCACAGAGGGCTTTCATGTTGTGAGTAATGACCAATAACAATGTAAACTAATGGAAGCTTGATTAATGGAGTAGGTATGTGGAGGATTGCAGTTGCTGAGCTTGCTCCCTCCTTCACATTCTCCCTGGCTTTTTCTCTATTTTGCGCACACACACAGTGACACACTCACACACACTCACACTTACACATGCCATTCCGATGAAGATGGTTAACCTAGGTGTTGGTTATGATGAAACGTGACTCTGTGCTCACATTCATGTTTCACGTGTGACTGAAAACACACCCTCTTCTCTTCTGCAACACAGTTGGAGTGCGTTAATTTAGTAAATGTTTCATGTTGCCAGTAGGTTTTAAGTAGGATGAAGAATTAAATGTGAAGTAAACTTTCTAAGAAGTAAGATTGTGTGCCACGATAGTAACTGCTACCGGCGAGCGCAGATAGAAGCGCAACTCATCCAGGGAAGAGGATATATCCTATACACCCAGTTTTATATGCTGGTGTCCGTCTGTGACTGTCGGAATCTGTGCATGTGTAAACAATAAACTGGACTAATACCACAAAATTTGAATCTTGCAGAATGCCTGCCTTTAGGTGAAGGTAGATTGGAAATAAGAATTTAAAATGTTAGACATCGAATTCAGCTGTCAGTGAAAAAGAGAGGCTGTCGCCGTGCAAGAGCATTATCGTTGCAAGAAAAATTACATAATTAAACTGGATAATTGATGCGAGGAATGTGGTGCAGATCAAATTTCCAAATAAGGAATATTGGGTGTGAAAGCACTCTAACCAATTAGCATGGACCACCTATTGAGGTTTAGACGCATGAACGCTCAATGAAAGAAGTCACATGCGCGTTCACGTCATTTCAATTAAATGCAACCGTTGAATCAAGTGTGCAAATGATGCCTCACCTGAATCCGTATAGCGTGGCCTGGCAAGGTCTCGGAAATAGTAGATAAAATCCAAGCAGTGCTCGTTTTGCACTTCCCCCTTCGAACAAAGATCTGACAGGAGTTCAAGTGCCTTTTGACAAATCTCGTCATCTCTGTCTCCAGGCATTTCCCACCAGCATCCTTATAAATGGAGGGTCTCTTAGGCACCACCACTACCACTCCGCCCGCTTGACAGTCACCTATTCCACGCTGCTCAGCACGGCTTCTGGAGTCAACCAAGCATCCAGCGGCACGCCTACCCACACGATGGAATCGACGGTCTGTGTTGGAAAGAACGAAAATCACTAGTCCGAGTGATCCAGAGAGCCAGCCCTTTCCCACATGTGGAACGGAAAGAGTTTTTATGTAACATTCAGTCACACAGTCCCCTCACACTACTGCTGTGGTTGAAAGCCACCGGTTGAATCCACGCATCGCCACTGCGGCGCCGCGCGCTGTCCAAGGTTCTGAAATGTATGCGCGCTTCAGAGCCGGACTCTCGCTACAATCAATCATTACAGCAGGTGGTCCTTGGTCTGGTGTCTAGCGTTACGCCTTTAAGCGGTAACAAGCTCAGGAGAAGTTGATCAGCTTTTTACTACAGGGTGAAATAGCTAGATCTGAGGGCAGTACTACCTGTAGCAAACGCCGATCACTTCTCCACTCCACGAACCTGGTATGGTTTTACGTGCCTACATGTGGCCAATGGATTACGTGCCTACATGTGGCCAATCAGAGGACGACATAATATATATATATATATATTTACCTGATACCTGTTAATGATGGTAGGAACTTAGAGTTACGCAGCTGGTCCGGGATCATATTATATGTGCACTTTCGATCTTGAGTGATTCACCGGCATTCGGCGGCAAAATCTGCGTCGCGTTCTTGCTGAAACCGGAGGTGCAAGGCCGAGTCCTTGATGCGCACCGTTAATGCCTGTAATAGCGAGCACCAATGCAGTTTACATAGAGTCTAGCGGGCACCAGGAAGGATAGGCAACGGAACTGCATTTCAGCGAGATGTCCGGCCAATTCCTGAAAACTGCTCTAGGATAAAATATATCACAGCTTGAAATAAAACAAGAAAATGTATGGATACTGTTCAGACCGATACACTTTTATTATGTTAAATAACATTATAAATCAGTCAGTATGGGGATCCCAGTAGAGGGCGAAACATTGAGGGGAGAATCGAGAATAAAGTGATACATATTTTGAACTGCCAAAACGGGTACAATTTTAATTCAATAAATCTGACATTTCATACTGAAAACCACCCCTTGTTAATTTTCCCATTGACTTTTTCTTGAAAGCATCTAAACTGACTTTTTTTTTTTGGGGGGGATTGTCAACTACCGGGAGGGAGAATAGGCCGTTAATTCCCTCAATAATAATTCCAATAGAACTTTTTATATCACAAAACATTCCCATGTATTTTTCTTGAAAATCACTATACCAAATAATAGAAATTATTCCCTTAAAATACTACAATAATCAGTAAGCCCTTATATATATTATTCATTTTAGCAATGTGCTGAAACAGTTAATGAATCACTTAGTGGAATAATCAATAAAAATATTTGAATAATTGATTTAACCATTAAAATTTAAGATGCTTTCATATTATAATTCAATAATTGATTATTTATTTGTTAAATCAAAAGGCCACTAATAATCACCAGGAGATTTTAGTGTATCTAGCCGGCAATGCAGAATTGCAACTCAACATTATACCTCAACTCCTTTGCCTTCACTGAGTCTGCGAATGCAGAAAACTTAATACTAGTGCTGGAAAACTTGCCAACTAGAGACGCCTTTTATTTGGAGGTTAGACTTCTGGTCCCTCCTCTCTGTTCCTTTCAAATCAAACTACTACTCTGAAACCTTTGTGACCTTCTGATAAGCCAGTTGATTTTCTTAATCAATTACCTGCTAGAATGTTTTTAATTAAGTGGTAATTTTACGGGTGGTCGATGTGTCCCTTTCTTATTGTCATTATATAATTTTTTTTTGTTATTAGTGATCTTTAACCTATATACTGTCCTAACCCTCCTTAATTTAATATATTACACATGAGCCCACACATTGAATTTCACCCTTCACGTAAGAGAACTGAAACCAACTTATAAGATCAATCTGGTTAATGGCTGAATACGGAGTGATGATTCAGTGTTATTGACAAGCTGAAGTGTCTATGAACATAGACCCGAAAGATCCAGACAGCTCAAACACGAGACACATTACTAGGACATATGAGCAGACCCAGGAAGCGCCCCCTCCCTGACTCTGATGATTTGTAGATGTTGTGGGACCTGGTGACGGTGACGTTGGAGACTGAATTTAGGACGAGAGGGTAGGAATAGTGATGAAGTGTGATGTGGGGAGTTGTGGATGTGTGGTAATAAGAGTTTACGAGAGTAGGTGGGCGCGCGCGCGTCATTCACGATCTTCCTGATAAAGTAGGAACGGGTTTTATATTAGTCTTTCTATTAACCTCCGTATAATTGCCATTTAGCACCCTACTTTTTCATAGAGAAAGAACAACATAAAACATCTGAGGAAGGGGGGAGGTACAATACCACTATCAGTGAATTAGATTGTTGCGTATTTGTTCCGTCAGGAGAAGGATGGTGAGCAGCGTTTTGTTACTCAGGGGTATGAAATAGCTAGTATCTGAGGGGGCAGGTTACGTACCGTAGCCATAACGCCGATTGGTCAGCTGTCGTCCGACGTGGTGTACTTGCCAGGCGAACCCTTGGTATTGAGTATATACGATTGCCTACATGTGGCCAATGGATTACGTAGCCACATAAAGTTGGACCAAATCAGAAGGACAGACATAAATATAATTAATATATTTATATTTATTTAATAATCACTATTATATTCGTTTTGTGGACTCTTTGTTGTGTTTGTGTGGTGTGGTGTGGTGGAGGAGAGAGAGAGAGAGAGGAGAGAG